TGAAGAAGAAGAAGAAGAAGAAGAGGAAGGGGGGAGAAGAAGAAGAGCAGGAAGAGGAAGAAAATGAAGAGGAGGAGGGGGGAGGAGGAGGAGGAAGAAGAAGAAGAAGAAGAAGAAGAAGAAGAAGAAGGGGGAGGAAGAAGAAGAAAAGCAAGAGGAGGAAGGAGGAAGAAAATGAAGAGGAGCAGGAGGAGGAGAAGGATGATGAAGAAGAAGACGAGGAGGAGGAAGAAGAAGAAGAAGAAGAAGAAGAAGAAGAAGAAGAGGAGGAGGAGAAAAAGAAGAAGAAGACGACGACGACGAAGAAGAAGAAGAAGAAGAGGGGGATGAAGAAGACGTCAGAAACAGACGTTGTAAGGCGGTTCATCAAACATTTGACAACTGTCATCGGCGTTTACAGGATAAGAAGGCTTTGACCGACGATAACAGAAGGGCTGTGTCCACATGCTCGGTGATTGTATCGCCGACGATCTTGGCAAGACAATCTCCGCTTTGGCACACCATAAACAAGCCGGGAGGCGAGGAGTTTTGGAAGGGTAATTGACTAATGTAAAACTAGCAGGCACGGAAAGCGCAAACCCAGTCCACAAGCTCTCGTCTAAGCAGCTAGCAGAGCAGTAATTACGAGTGCTACAGCATGAAACTTGTTTTAGCACTGCCGATGCCAATCCTGTCGACTTTATGACAACCCTGGAAGTTATACTTGTGAGGATTGAACGGGAAACAGTCCGTCTGACAACATGCTGCCTCCTTGCTGATGACACACAAGCCAACCCAAAGAATTTTGCAGAGTGAGGCACGACAAAATTGTCATTCGGCCTGCTGACGCGAGACGATCAACTGTCGCGGTAAACCAAAAAGACTATGAAGCCAAAACCATTCTTGATGACAGATAAGTTTACAGATCAGCACAGAATCCACAAGCCAAAGCAGTGGTGGATCAGCTGACTGAACTGCTTAGAGAATACTGGCGCAAAAATGTGATCACTCAGAATGAATGGCGCCGAAGTAAAGAAGCTGGCATCGCTCAACTCTATGGTCTGCCACCTCGGCCAATCGTTGCCCTAAGAGGCAGCCCCACCAACAATTTGGCAAAGTGGATGCACTCAAGACTGAAGTTCCTCCAAGGCAATTCAACTACTTCAGTTCGAACAGTCTCTCAGTTCCTCATAGACCTCCGAGGTCGGAGGACTCAATCAGACGAAATCATGGTCTCCTTCGATGTGACGTCCCTAGTCACATTCATCCCACCAAACACGACGCGCAACAGACTTGAAGAGGTGTATGACGAGCCCCAGATTTCACTTAAAATTGGGCATTTCATGAGGCTGTTTGAATTCTGCCAACAAACTTTCTTCACTTTTGTTGGAGAGACCTACGACCAGCTCAAGGGAACTCCTCCAATGGGCTCATCGCTTTCCGGTTTAGTGGCAGAACTGGTCCTACAGAAGCTAGGAAAGATTGCCTTCATCCAGCATGAACCAGTATTCTTGCGCCGTTACGTAGACGACACGTTTGTTATCGCAAAGAAGTACATGTTACAGCATTTCCACAATCTGCTCAATGCAGTCTTCCCTGATACAGAGTTCAACGGGGAAGAATAACAGAAGCATCAGTTGCCCCTCCTTGATATGCTCGTCAGAGCAAACCTTAACGGCTAACCTTAAATGACAGTTTAAAGGAAGACAACGAACATCAAAGAGCTTATCAGTTTTCACAGCAACCATCCGGTGGCTCACGAACGAACTGTGTGAAGACACTCTTCAAACGAATTCGGACTCGTTGCGGCAAACCGTAGGAAACAGCGCGTGAGGTCCAGTTTATGCGGAATAGCTTCCAGAAGGTATTTATGGGTCGCTGCTTACGCGGTCGCCCACAGAGGACCCAAACAGCAATACCACCAAGGATATTGCATTCTGTGTCACGCATTAAGGACGTTTTCAGAAGCGACTGAGCCCATTGCTGTGAAAGTAGGTTGGAATTTCACACCGGCCCAAAGCCCCCATGCACAGCAAGGTCGCGAAAATTAAAGACCGATTAAATCCAAAGGAGCAATCTGGGTAATGTACCACATTCCGTGCCAAAAACTGTCCTTGTAACTACACAGGCCAGACGGGACGCATGCCCGGATCGCGCATACACTAACATAGGCTGGCTGTGCCATGAGGCGATGAACTATCCCAAGTGGTTGTCCACACCTACGAAACGCGTCATGAGTTTAACCTCGCAGCCACCAGGATAATCGCCCACACCGGAAACAGGGTGTGCTAGGAATTGATTAAGGCCTGGGCCTCGGATGAGAACTCAGCCAATCAGAGAGCGAGAGAGAAAAAATCGCCCTATTTCGTTGCAGACCGACTGATGGACGTCTCCTCTCTTCAAAGAAAGGTTTGACGCCGGAAGAATCAGGGAAAATAAGAGGGGTTGACGATGAGCAAGCTAGAGGTGTGGAGTAGGGAGGCAAACGGCACGGGATCTGACCTAAACCGGCCAGACCATCTGCGATCGCAGTAAGCACGATGCTTCTCGGACTGTAAGCAGGTGTTTAGAAGAAGCTGCGATCGCTGGAACAAGAGGTTTATTGGCCTGACGTTTCGGATTCTCACTCGAGAACCCATCATCAGAGACAGTTGCAGATAGGGATGTTTATGATGATCAGACGGAATCCCTCGAAATCAGCACTAACAACCTGGGTTGGCTGTGAAGCCCTGAGATGTTCTAGCGCTGGTCTATGAGTCCACAATTTGCTGGTTTCGATCGCTAAGATTATTAGTATTAAGAAACTGCACGTTTAGACGAAAAAAGCAGTAGTTTCACGCAGAAGTTTCGACTCCCTGTCTCAATGTGGCCAGTCTGGACAAAAGAGCTCCTAGGTCTGTACTCACGCGTACTTAGCGTCGCGATTGGCCATTAAGACAACTGAAGGTCACGCACCAGCCGCGTGATTCGTAAGTAAGTGTGCAAACAAACCTGTTGAGACTACAACGTGCTAGGCAGAACCCGCTTGAAGGTCTACCGCCACGAGCAAGCGCACACTGCGCGTGTTGGCGGCAGAGAAACGTCAGTACGCGCAATTTGGGTGACGCCTTTCTCTCGGCGAGGACCAAACGCCATCGGGATGAGCTACCTCAAAACCCATGGAGGACTGATGACAGATCTACTGTCGAGCTATCGTCTTATCCGCTGGAAACGACTAGAATACAGTAAGTAGAAAGACCCTTCTACGCTCACTTGCTTCCTCTGTAAGCAACAGGACTGGGTTTTAGTGTACTTTTGCTTGATGGGAGTGACTGTGACGTCCACAGCCCTTTGGAAACGCGCAGCTACATCCCGATGAAGGTCACTTCATTACTTCTGCTGGAGATCAGAATCATAGGCAACGTACTGGATGACGACGACGACGACGACGACGATGACGACGACGACGACGACGACGACGACGACGACGACGTAAGTCCGAAACGCCCACACAACGGTTTGTCTGTCGTAGGCGAAGAGGACAACCAGTGCCTTGGAGAGATCGTAGGGGCGACTTGCGCGTGATTTGGACAACAGTATGACCCGCGCAACACGACCTCACTACCTCTGGTAGGGGGCGCTCACCGATCGTTCTTACGGAACTCACTCGTCCCGTTGTGCCTTACGGGCTCTCTCTCGGGCCCAACCAGCAGCCGCACAGCGGCGCATGATATATAGGCAGTGTGTTATTACCGACAATGACAAGGCAGACTGGAATGGTCAATTCTGGCTTATTAGCCGTCGTCTGTCAGTCATAACCAACCCCGAAGTGTGTGGAACACCCGAGGCTCAAACTCGCGACCTGTTAGTTAGAAGTCCACGCCTCTAACCACTGGGCTACGTGCCCGTTGCCCTGTCGGCTTCGATTGGGAATATACAACAGTAGGGGGCGCTCATCGATCGTTCTTACGAAACTCACTCATTCCGTTGTGCCTTATGGGTGTTCCACACTTCGGGATTGGGTATGACTGGTTGACGACGGCTAATATGCCAGAAATGGCCATTCCAGTCTCCCTTGTCTTTGTCGGTAATAACACACTGCCTCCGTACCTTCCCTCACGCTCCCCATCTACTGCGTGGACAGTACTGCCTCAAGACGACTGAAGGCTAGGTAAATTACAGTGACTAAGGACGGTAAAGCCATGGACAGTTCAATCGTCGTGGGTGACGAAGGCCACCGTCGTGTACCCCAGGGAGAGAGCACAGGACGGTGACTTGTGTGTGAATGAGTTTACAGCTAGACAGAATTGCAAAAAACGTCAGGGGGTGGCCTCGGACGCAAGCCACTACACGAACCGGGCTTCCGTGTGGGCGGTACGGATCTCATCTGGCTGAGTGTCATTTCAGGGATCATTTCAGCCTGACTCGCAGTCCTCCAAAATACTCCAATGAGGACCAAGTTGTTCCAACAGTTGGCAACCTGCCAAGCCAGCGCGTCAGATTCGGGATAGTGAGGACTACACCGAGGTGCCATGCGGATTGATTCCCCTTTGTCAGTCCCATTCTCTGTTGTTCGTCCCAAACACAAGTCAAGCCGTCTCTACGTGTAGGACGCAGGCGCCAGACCTTGCGCGTACACGAACAGGACTTCAAAGACGAGTATCGTAAGGCCTAAGGGGTAATTTCCTTAAAAAGGCCATACCAAGGAACCATACGGCCCGACCCCACTCCGACTGTGCCAGGGCGGCTGGGCGAGGACGCCATAAAAGGCGCGTCTACGCGTGCTACACACTGCCCCCTGCCCGCCACATGTGCCGGGTTACAATAAGAGCGACTTGGATTTCACAATAGAGGAAGTGCCTTAAAGGGTACGCTGAGGAGACATTGCAGCCTAATTCTCGGTTCTGGGAAGGACTGAGTTATCCCATCAGTTGGAAACCTCCCAAGGTATGGCTGCTGGCGCGTCCCGGTAGGTTCCAGCGCGTCAGATTTAATATAGTGAGGTGGGCAAGGGCGCAGTAAGCAGCCCGTCTACGCGTGCCACAGGCTGTCCCTCCACATGTGCCAGACCACAATGAGGACGGCTTGATCCTCACGTGCGTGAAAGTGCTACAAAGACACACTAAGGTGCCGTTGCAGCCTGATCCTCAGTCCGGAGGATCGGGTCATTCAATCGGCTGCCAAGCCCTAATGTGAAGACTTTTGGAACGTCAGCTTAGACTAGTAGATGCGTGATAGATACCAACAGGCGAGTTACAGGAAGCAGTCCAGAAGCAGATGATGCGATCACTGGAGCGAGAAGTTTATTAGACTGACATTTCGGCTTCTCACCGAACCCATCATCAGAGACGGTCTATCTGCAACTGTCTCTAATGATGGGTTAGGGTGAGGATCCGAAACGTCAGGCCAAAAACCTGATTCCATGAAGGTCAGCAACTCTGTCAACTGAAAGTCTTTGAAGTGACGACTCCTACCGTATCATGGCAATTTTACTGTAGCGAGGAAAATATGCGACGGATCAGTCTCAATATTTTAGACATTGTTAAATGAAGGTAATAAGCCATGCGGGTTCATAGCGTGGAAAAATATCCGCTTTAGGACTTTTACATCAGCCATCGGCTTCTCTTTACGTTCAAAGGAAGTTAACAAAGTGGCCCCGTCTACATAACGTATTTGTGGCCTTCAGGGCTTGGTTGCCTTCTGTCAATAGTCGACAGCGTGTAATCTTGAAAGGGCGCGAGAAAAGTTGATGAGTTGCATGATTGTCAGACAGTAAAGAATATTATCCACGGACAGGCAAACTACAAGCGGTGGAGGAGAGAGCACGGTCGCCAAACTAGAATAGCACGTCAAATTAAAGCACTATCACGGACTTCTTTGGAATGAACGGCCTGTGAAGCAGTCAATATCATAAAATACTTATCTGAACGAATGTTTCTGCTTCGAAATTCATAGAGAGAACGTCGAATCTTTGGGAGAGTACATGTAGAAACCACATCTATTTGAGCTCTGGTGCCCAAAGCGTACTTAACATAGCAGACACGATTTGTCTCTGGCCATAAAGATGCTTTTAACAAGGACCAGACTTTCACTTAGGGCGTCAAATATCAGGACGAAAGACATGATGACTTGACCGGTGCAAATGACGAGACCCACCGCGCCATAGCATGGCGTAGTCCTGACTTTCGCGGCATTTGCCACATTCTCTTTTACCCACTGTGTTCGGACTGCGAGATAAAGTTCAGATGAAAGACGCACGCTACTCACCGTCCGCTTCCCAAGTCCACACATATCAGGCCATATTCAGGAAGGAAGACGCGGTTTAGTGTCACGGAGGCCATATTATAGGGCCATTACAGTCTGACTTCCAATCCTAAGTGAAGAAAGTTATCTCCATTGAATGGCGACTTCCCAAGGCCCGATCAGTGGCTGGCGTCGTGAGTTTTAAAGAGCAGTTAATAGTTTGGCTAACATCCGAGCCAGACTGACCTCACTCTGCCTTACCTCAGCCAAGTGCCAGAGGCCTGTTCTAGAAAAGCCGGGGATGCGTAATGCACGCAGATGCAGAAGTCTAACGCGTTATACACGGGCTCAGATTTCACATGTGATAGATGCCACGAATGACACACTAAAGAGCTATCGCAGTCAGACTTCGCTCAAAATGCAGACCGCGTTATCCGGTCAGCTGTCGTCCTTTTACCAATGATTCTTAGCGTGTTCTAACAATCTCCGGCGAGTCAGATTTACTATGGTAAGGGGAACATTGAATTGAAGGATTTCTCCCTAGCAGTATTGCCTTTTCTCTCTTCTACTTCTCGTCTACACACTAATGACCTACTGGGGCCTGTTGTTCAAACCTGACGCGAACACGATACGGCACTTGCATACTTGCAGTGGTCAGCACTCTCCAAGGCTTTAATCTACCTTTGTCAAGCTAAAACTTCCGCACTAGTGCGATAATCTCCATGACAATTTGTGTTTGCTCGGTATGCAAGTAAGATATACACCCATTACCTCTAATCTTGCGTGCCGCTGATGACATTGCTGTGTTGTCACCAGTTTGAAATGTGCCTAAATAGGTCCGATCAAACGGCAAGCGTTTAAAGGGACAGAGTTACGGGGCTTGCTTTACACCTTATGTATACTCACATTTATCTTCTCAAATATGCCTTAAATTTTCATCGCTTATTTCAAATATTTAAGTGTGTGTCTGCCCACATCGATAAAATGAGGTAGACATTGAAAGAGGCGCCGTCTACACAATACTGTGTCCCGGAGGCAGAATTGCATTGAAGACTAAACGCACGCGCTATAGAACATGCAGTTATAAGTCACTGATTTAGGTGTTTATTTCGTGCCTTCGAGGTTCAACGCACCGAGAAACTGACCAGATCATCACCATCAGGGAGGACGCAGTAGAAAAAATAGGTAGACATTAAAAATGCTGGGGAAGGACGATAGGCCGATGACTTCCGGAGTAATTGGGCGAACGCCTACCCTGGTAGTAGTTGTAGATCAGACGCCGGACAGAAAGAAAATTGTTGTCCCCAAATCAAACAACCCGACGAATCACGAAACTAGTTTTTCAGTGGACATTATGACCGCTAAAAGTCAAAACAACTTGAAGGAGGTAGAGAGATTCGCTGTCATCCGGTCAACCCCTTACCCGACGACAGTAGTAATGGCGGCCGGCCAAAAAGCGGACAGACATAGTTGACTTCGTACTGGAGAGGGTGTCAAGTCTGACTGTCTTCGGTGTGCGGGAATGAAACGATAAATAAATGGCGATTGTTGAGGACCCATCAAAAAACCGGAGGATACGAGCCACAATGGTCTTGATGCCGCTAACGTTGAAGCAAACTAAATTAATACAGGTTCTAACTGTTGCAAGTACAAGGTGCGAGAATGTCTACCGCAGGGGACTGACTTCGCCATCACCAACAAATCCCTATTTAAAGTAGGCAATTAAACACCCAATGCATTTATCGCTAATGTTACAGACGGCAAAGTCAAATAGCAGTGAAGACCAATCCGTGGTAGGAACTTCAGTTCAACCTTAAAAACCCGGGATGCTGTGAATTCAGCAACTTGTTAGAATTCATGTGACATGACCTAAAGTAAGAGCTGGTAGGTCATTGGTATTCTCGCATAGTCTCTTTCAAACACGGCATAGGTCGAAGATAAACTACGAATCGCAAGTCCGAATGCTGGGGCAGATTTTGTTCGTTACTTCGTGAGGTCGAAAAAGGCAGGATGGGCTGAATCGCATATTTGATGGATTTTAAGATCCGATCTCTAATACAGATTTCCATAGTTTACGGCGACACAATGAAAAAAGGAAATGCATGACGCATAGAATAAGGTTCAAGTTTTCGAGAGAAAATCCAATCAGTCGTAGGACAAACACGCCACTTACAAACTTCCGTATTTCCCGAACCAACGTAAAAAAGGCCTCTTCTACTCCTTGACGAGTTTTGGCGGAAGTCTCGATGTACGGGATACCATATTCTCTCGCGACGGATTGGGCGTTTTTGGCATCAACGGTCCGCACTTGGAGATCAACTTTATTACCAATTACTAAGAAAGGAAGAATACAGAAACGGCGCGAGTGACTTACAAACCATGGGGACTTCGTCTGCATCTTTGACGCGTTTAATTTGCTCCCGGTACTGCCCTATATCCTCAAAACTCTTCGCATTGTTTACAGCAAAAACGCACAGAAATCCCTCTCCTGTTCGCATGTATTGGTCTCGCATGGCACTAAGAAGATAAAATAAGGAAATTCGAGATACCTGTATTCCTCTTGACCTGCTGTGTCGAGGATATCCAACATGCAAGTTTCGCCATCTATGTTGACTTGTTTTCGGTATGAATCCTCTGTAGAGATAAGTTCGATAACGCAGGGAAAACTTGCCTATCGTAGGATCATACTCATCGACGAAACTAGGAAGCAATAAAGACTTAAAGACTACTTACTGATTCTGTATAAGCTGAATCGTCAATGCACTCTTTCCAACGCCGCCAGCTAAATCGGAAGAACATGTTTAAAACTTTAAAAAGTTTTTTACCTCCAACAACTACCAGCTTATACTCGGTCATCTGATCAAAAAGATTAATGCCCTATTTGCAGATAATCGTAACTTCCAATCGGCTTGGACATGGGATTGCCTGTTTTTGGTTGGTCCAAATAGGTGGAGGGGGTTTACGGTCCGCGTTAGACAAATCCTTGGCTATTCGGCTGTCAGGTATTTTCACAAATTGTAGACAAAACAAACTACGCTTAACGAACAAAACTGCTTGTCAGAGACCAATAAATATGTGGCAGACTGGAGATATAAAAATTCTTTTTGATTTATCATTATTGAACCCCATAATCTAAAGAATCTTATTTTTCTATCAGGAATGGGCACACCGATCTACTGGTTTCACGAAACAAACAGGCTCCATATGGGTGGCAAAGGTCACGAACAGGCGGCCAATTACCAGGCCGAAGTCGGTCAAGTCATAATAGCATCTTGGAGGGGCGACAGCGAATGCGAGTAGATTGATACAGTACCGTTTCGGACTTATTTGCCTTCATTCAGCCAATCATAATCCTGACCAACAACTGTGTTCAAGAACACAAAAATGCGCACAGACGCACCTGGCGCAGTTAGTCCACCAGTGGGGTCTGCCGGGTTCAAACGACAGGTCTCAGTAGGTCATTGCTGTTTAGACGAGAAGTAGGAGAGAGAGAAAAGGTAATAGCGCAATTCAATGTTCTCCTTACTATAGTAAATCGGACTAAGCCTAACCCCTAAGTATAATTCCTAGTCCTTAACCCTAACCCCTAACCATAACCCTTGACCCTAAACCCATAACAATCGCCCCTAACTATAATCCCTAGCCCAAACCCATAGCCCTTAACCCAACCCCGACAGTATTGGTCCATCCGGTGGGGCTACCAAACCAAATCTTGCCGTCACTTCCTCCCATTCATGCATCACTTTGAGAGACTTGAGTGAACGATACTGCCCTCTCAAGAAACATCCTATCGGAAAAAAACTGAAATGGCTGATGACATCGGTTAAGAAGGGAATCTGGAAAAAAACGCAAGTTGTGGAAAATCTTCTTACGAACAGGGAGCCCGGGAAAAACTTCGGGAATTTAGACAACATGGAAACTTATGCAAAAAGACTCATCGGAGAAGTACGAGCTTCTTATGAACTGAAGCTTCTGGAAGAGGCGCAGCAAAAACCTAAAACATTCTAGAAGTTTAGTAATCTGTATGGATATCAACTACGAAGACGAAGCCTGTATGACATGTTTCGGACTCCTTCAAAAATTTGCGGAAATGGAGAAGGAGATTAAGGGCCTTAAAGTGGAGATAGAGAAGCTGAAGAATCTCCCTCGCTATTCATCTATAGAGAATGAAATTGAGCGAACATACGCAAACACGACTTCCTCGGTTGTGTCGACAGAGGAGAAAGAAAATAGTAGGTCTCTAGAGCTCACTAGGCATGACAAACAGTGTCTTGTGTGAGGAAAGCGTGGTCAGATGCGATCTTAGCGAACGAAAAGAAGTCTGAGGGCACCCCGAAAAGGCACGGAGAGTTTGAAAAGAAACCAAGAGTTGGCTACACCGCAGACGAAAATCGTGCCGCTGAAAACGACAAATGATCGAAGGATCGTAGTGAACAGGCAGTCATGTGTTAGTCCTACCGAAACAAGCCTTCATAAATCGGTGAATGTCGGCAGCCGGGATATCCGTGATGAAGTCTCTGCAGGTAGGATTAAATCATAAAGCCCTCTAGTGGATCGCAGTAAATGCATTGTTATAAAGGGCATGCCTGAGTCTGTTTCCGACACTCCAAAAGGACAGAATAAAGTATGACACAAGTATTCCAGGAATAGCTCAAATCGATCTTAGTAGGAGACGAGAAAGTCACAGTATTAAAGGCTTTCAGGATGGGCCAAATAAAAGACTCAAAACATGAACCAGACCGACCGAGACCGTTAAAATTTGTCTTTGAGAATGACGAACAGGCGCAGCAACTGTTGAGCAGGAAATCTGCGCTCCAAAATGCCCATCCATCAGTTTTTTTTTCAGCGGGACATTCCACTTAGCGGAGCGAGAAAAATTGAGGGGGCTCAAATTGGAAGTACTCAGGCGGTCGAGTCTGGGCGAGACAAATCTCAGAATACTGGACGGGAAAATTATACGCGCCTAGACGCCATTCCTCTGAAGAAGGCCCCTAACCTTAACAGCTTAGTAGTGATGGAAAGCAGTTCATCCCGATCAGCCCCGACCGGCTTTTGCATTCATCCCCATGAAATGGATAAACGCCTGTATGTCGGAGTTGCTCGTTCCAAATTCAGATTTTTGTATATCAATGCTCACAGCCTCGTTTCGAAGATCGACGAAATCAGAGCGATAGTTTCAGAACGAATCCTCGACGTCATCGCCATAACGGAAACTTGGTTAAATGCCGAAATCGTGGATGCCGAGATTTTGATACCGGGTTATCAGCTCTTTCGTAGAGACCGTCAAAATGGACAGGGCGGTGGGGTATTCGTATATGTAAGGGCAGGAATTTCGGCAGTTGAACCAGCCCACACCCACTTCGTTGAATATTAATCCGTCTGGACAAAGATAAAGAAGAGTAATGCTCAAAATCTAGAATTCCTGGCGATTTGCAGATCATCAAACTTTCTGAGTGCAGCTGATGAGTCACTCCTTGATCGCTAGCCACCAAGAGGTACTTATGACTGGGGACTTCAACGCACCTGAAATAGAGTGAGAAACTATGGCAGCTAACGGTAGGCCAACTTCTTTCAGCAATAAGCTACTGCACCTCACACTCGATCTCCCTCTGGCACAACATGTAAAGGTACCTACAAGATTTCTAGAGAACCAGAGAGCGAATTGTCTAGACCTGGTTTTCACTAATGACCTCTCTAGTTTCGACGAAGTGTATTCCAATGCACCCCTCGGGAAAAGTGACCATACTACGCTACTATGGGATTTCTCGCTCTTCTCTCAACGCCAGAAGAGAACAGAGGGCCAACCTGATATATGGAAGGCAGATTTTAACACGATGAAGAACGAATTGATGTACGTGAATAGGGATCATTTGATCAGGGGAGATCCGGAGGACGACTGGAGATCTTTTAAGACGATTTCACTTGATCTAATTCGGCGCTGTTGTCCACCTAAAGTACAAAGAACAACTAGTCGGCCTGTTTGGTTAACTAGGAACCTAAATAGGCAGCTACGGACGAAAAGCAAAAGATAGAAAATATTCAGGGAAACTGTGTCACCAGCGCATTTCGAAGAATTTCGTCGTCAGCGAAATGCGGTCAAAAAAAATGTATCCGTCGGGCATGGAAGGAGTGTAAATCCAAAATTATCCGACAGACTGAACAGAAGCCCAAGACTTTATTTCACCATCTTAACAGTAGACAGAAAAACAGGGACCCGGTCGCAGTGCTGGACGATGATAATGATGTATAAATCATTGAGAACAGCGAAAAAGCCGAACACGTAGGATGGTATTTTGCCTCGGTTTTTACTAGAGAAACAGAGTTTCGTAGTCGCAGTGCCAGCAATGGTGTTGAGACCGTTGGTTCCGTGCTTGACTTCATGCTCTTCCCGACAGCTGTCGTGGAAAGGGAGCTGCAAAATCTCGAAGAAGCAAAGTCCTCGGGTCCGGACGATATACCGGCCAAATTCTTGAAAGAATTGGCGAATGAACTCTCCAAACCACTGGCATACATCTTCCGCTCGTCATTCGAATTAGGAGGGGTTGCCATCGGAATGGAAGACAACAAATATCTTTTTGATATACAAGGACGGGGCTCGCACTAATGCTAACAATTACCGGCCTGTTAGTCTAACCTGCATCTGCTGTAAAATAGTGGAAGCCATAGTTAAGAAAGCAACAATGAATTTCCTGGAGCAGAACCACTTACTCTCAGACCTGCACCACGGCTTCAGACAGAACCGCTCGTGCCTTTCCAGTCTATTGCTCTCGACGGAGCAGTGGACTCGCGCACTGGACGAGGATGGTAGGGTCGATGTCATCTACACGGACTTTAAGAAAGCGTTCGACAGCGTTCCACACAAACACCTAATCTACAAACTTTCTTAAGTTGGAATAAGAAGAAAGCGATTGACATGGATAACAGGTTTTTTACAGGGAGATCACAAACGGTGTGCGTTGAGGCCTCAAGGTCAACTCATACCCCCGTTCTAAGTGGTGTACCCCAGGGCTCCGTCTTAGGGCCGTTGCTATTCCTGTTTTACGTTCACGATTGCGTCGACGACCTGGGATGCAGCGCCATCGTGTTTGCTGACGACGTTGAACTGTGGAGAGTCATCAGATCTAACGCAGACAGATACGCGCTTCAAAACAGTCTCAACCGCCTGAGCAGTTGGTCAGTTCGTTGGCTCCTTAAGTTTAATGTGGACAAATGTGTGGTCCTGAGACTCCGCACCAAAAAACAGTAAGGAGGACTATTCCTTTCAATACGTCCTGGGTTGGCAGTCCCTTTTAAATGTTGTGGAACAGAAAGACCTCGGCGTCCTAATGACCTCCTCGCTGAAAACATCACCACAGTGTCAAAGGGCAACTAAAGGGTGTTATTTGCGCTGAGGCAAGGATTTGTGCAGATCGATAAAGAGCTATTCGGATAAACCCATGGGGCATTCGTCCGGTCTCACTTAGAGCATGCAGTCCAGGTCTGGCGACCGTGGTTGAAGAAAGACTATCAAAGACTGGAAAGAGTACAGGCGATGACTACGGAGGTGGTCAAGAATTTTAATAATCTGCCTTAGGAAACCAAGCTGACCGAACTAAATCTGTTTCCTATCAATTACAGGCAACTGCGTGGCGATCTCATTCAAACATACAGGATTGTCAGAGGCCGTGAGTGCGCCCTAGACTTGGATAAATTTTTCGAATTGGCCGGGACTGACCGTCTGCGTGGCCATCCCTTCAAACTGCAGAGGAAACTGGCTCATTCGGACGTCCGACGGAACGCCTTCTCTCACAGGGTCATTGGGGCATGGAACGGATTCCCTGATGCAGTGGCTATTTCCTAAACTGTCGAATCCTTTA